GAAACACCACATGTTAAGTTTCAAGCAAAATTCCTGACTTTAAGGATGCATCATATTCTGAACAGATTATAGTGTGGTGGAGGTGTTGCGCGAGGAGCCGGCTAGAGTGACGATTAGAGGTCTCAGACGCTCTTTCTACCCGCCTTCGCACTTACCTCCCGTTGACAATTCGCCACCAGAGAAAAAGCTGCAACTAGAGTGGGTGTACGGTTATCGGGGCACCGACACCCGTCGAAATCTCTGGGTATTACCCAGCGGCGAATTGTTATATTACGTTGCTGCCGTAGCTATACTCTTTGATCGAGAAGAGAACGCGCAGCGGCACTACATCGGTCATACGGAGGATATCACGTGCATGGAGGTAGACAGAAATAGGCATTCGAATTTTTAGTGAACATGCCCGGACAAATTTCTAATATTATTATATTATATTTTTTAAGAAATCGGCGAAATATGTTACTTGATGAGCGGACAGAAATTATTACGTCGAAATGTTTAATGAAACAAATAATTTCTGTAGGTTCATCCCAGTCGAGAACTCGTGGCGTCCGGTCAGAGAGCCGGCAGACACAGAAAGGCTCAACCGCATGTACGCATTTGGTCCACGGAGACCCTTCTCACCCTTTACGTGTTCGGCATGAGCGAGTTTCAAATGGGCGTATCGGCACTTGCGTTTTCGCAGTTGGTAAATATAATTGCTTCCATAAAGCCTCTATGAGAGGCAACCATGTCGTAGACTAAATTTAAAAAGATATTCATAAATAATCCTGTGCTATTCATAAATAATTAATAACTTTTTTTAATTAATTCCCTTAAGCATGAAAAAATGACCGATACAATCGTTCCTAAAATAGTTTTTTCTATTTTATTTTACGATTTTTAATCATCAAATTTTCCAACGTTTTTTTTTTAACGATGACAATTATTTTTATTATTTAACATAGAATGGCGGTAGTTACGTGCTTGCTGTAGATGCTGGAAGAGAAGCCATATTGTCGGTATGGCAATGGCAATGGGGTCATTTATTGGGCAAAGTGGCGGTAAGTTAAGATTCAAAACATGTTTGTCACACTTTCTTCTGTGTTCCTGATGTGTTTTACATAAATTTCATATATTCTCACTAATTTAAATTAACAGACCATGCAGGAGGATCTCACAGGTGCGGCGTTTCACCCACTGGACGATAATCTCTTAATAACGCATGGACGCGGTCACTTGACCTTTTGGAACCGTCGAAAAGACGGTTTCTTCGAACGAACCGATATCATTAAACCCGTAAGTCTACGTGGAACTTATCATATCTATCTGTTTTAGGGATCTTTAACTCTTACACGGAAAAAAAGGTTTGGTTGAATTAACCAAATATATGGTCGAATATGAACGATCCAGGAATTCCGATTGAAGTAATCCGAATTCTGCTTAAGTCAATCAAATATCTTGTTAACTTAAACAGAATTCGGGTTACTTCAATCGGAATTTCTGGATCGTTCATATTCGACCAGATATTTGGTTAATTCAACCAAATCTTTTTTTCCGTGTAGCATATAAGTACTGCTCGTACAAATCATTGAAAAGAACTCTTAGTATATACCATCAATCTTTTAGCCTTTGGTACTGTGCCATCTGAATGATCCCAGACAACACAATCTACTAAAAGATATCTTAAAGACGTCCAAAAGACTTTCCTTTCGTAAGGAATCCTTATTCCTCTTGAATGTCTTTTGGACGTCTTTAAGATATCTTTTAGCAGTTTGCGCTGTCTGAATGATCCTACCTTAAAAATCAATTATAATTAAAAGAGCTGTAGGAGAATGAGCTTGCTACTAACTAAAACAATATTTCTTTATGCGTAGAGGCTTGATATTATTTGTTACTACATTTCATTTGGAATTTACGTAGCCGTCGCGTACGCATGTGACGAGCATCCAGTTCGAGCAAGACGGTGACGTTGTGACGGCGGACAGCGACGGCTTTATCACGGTGTACTCAGTGGACGCGGACGGTGCGTATTTCGTTCGAATGGAGTTCGAAGCGCACAACAAAGGCATTAGTTCTCTCGTCATGTTGTCGGAGGGTACATTGCTCTCTGGTGGTGAGAAAGACCGCAAAATCGCCGCTTGGGACTCGCTACAGAACTATAAACGCATCACTGACACAAAGGTGTGAACGCAGTTCAATGCCAATTTATCTAAATCTTTATTTATATACGAGGTGTCCGACAATTCATTATGCAGCCAAGGTGTACAGATAAAACTCATCAATCATTTATCAATTTTTTTTAACTAATAAATCAAAATTTTACGTGGTTAATTGCAAAGTGGTAAAGGAATTTTGTGTTCAGTTTCATCAGTTTTATCTGTACATGGTACAAAAGCACTGTTACTGCATGATGAATTATCAGACACCTTGTGTATATGAGTAAAAAATTTATATATTATATAATTTTATATTATATATATAATTTTTCTTTATTAATTAATTTTATTTATAATTTCTTTATTTTTCTCTAACATCGATTTTTTAGCTAACTCTTACTTTTTTTACTTTGATATTAGAATAATATAAGCCCAGTAAGTAAATTGAGCGCAGACTGCGCGCAGATTGACAGCAAATTTGATTAAAAACCCACAGCAAAACCATAGCCATCTATATTTACATTAGGCTACGGTTTTGGCGACAGATCTTACTGTCGGACAATTGGTGCCAAATTTGCAGCAAAAACCACGCAAAGCTTGCAGCGCAGCAAGATTTGCGCGGTTTCTGCTGCCAATCTGCCGTCAAATCGCTACAAGCTCTGCGCGGTTTTTGCTACAAATCTGCAGCAATTATCCGACAACAAGTTCTGTTGCATATCTGGCGACAATTTGGCAGCAAGATTTGATATAACAGATCCTGTATCAAATTTGGTATCTATTTGCCATCAAAAGTTGATAGCAAGTTCTGCACGAAATCTGTTCGCGCAGGTTTGGCTATCTGGGAGGGAACGTTAAGCATATAGAAAGGTTAATATTTATTTGTATTAATAATTAAGTGCATGCCAAATCCATATGTAGTAAATCCGAAAATCTATTAGCTGTTGTAATCAGCATCCCAAAAATTGATCTCATTGCAGCTGCCAGAATCGGTAGGTGGAGTGCGCAGTATATATCCGCAACGTCCTGGCAGAAACGACGGCAATATTTACGTCGGGACAACGCGAAACAACATCCTGGAAGGCTCTTTGCAAAGAAGGTTCAACCAAGTAGTGTTCGGCCACGGTAGACAACTGTGGGGTTTGGCGGTTCACCCTGACGACGAAGTGTTCGCTACTGCAGGCCACGACAAGAACATCGCCTTGTGGCGGAGGCATAAGCTTCTATGGACCACACAGGTAAGATCGAAAAATTCAAAACGATAACGCAGAACTACTTTTACGGCCGAATTAAATTGTGCAACTTATTATTATTGTTAAATACACCGGTTATCACTTATCTGATGGAAATCGATCTAGAAATCCTGTTATCCTTCCTTCTAATACTCTTTCATTTTACAAATAGACATATTTCGGCATATTATCTGCTTAGTTATTAGCATGAGCATGCAAAGACCCATACAGCATAAATCTTTAAAAGACATTCTAAAGACATTCTAAGAACATTCATACATCCTAAGAACGTTCTAGGACATTCTCTGAAGATTTTGTGCTATCTAGGGTTATACGTGCTATCTGGGGTTATACTTGCTTAACAAAAATTTATTCAGTATATAAAAGAAATCGTCAAATACCATGAAAATTGCTGTTTATTTTGCCGAAAAGAAAATGTAATTAGTCTGGAATTATTAATGAAAATTAAATATTTTGATTATAATTACCCAGACAGCACAAGATCTCCTCAGGACGTCCTAAAGACGTCCTAAGGACGTCCTGAGAACGAAGAAATGTTCTCAGGACTTCCTTAGGATGTACTCTGGATGTTCCCTGGACATCTGTGCTGTTAGGATATGATATAATAAATGAGTATTTCTTAAAACAAGCAAGTTTTAAACACGTTGTGCTATTACAATAGCATCACAAAGTGTACATTAAATATTTGCACGCTACGTATTCAGCATTTTTATCTATCTAGAAACAAATCAGAAGATATTGTTAAAGATGGTTAAAAAGTGCTGTTTATCGTTTATATCGTGTTATAATCGCTGCAGGTGGGTTTTGAGTGTATCTGTATCGCCTTCCACCCGTTCGGCGTGGCACTCGCGGCGGGCTCGTCGGAGGGTCATCTCTTGGTGTTGGCGGCCGACACCGGTGCCGCCGTTGCAACCCTGCGGGTGTGTGGGTCACCACTGTCTTGCATCGGATACAATCCCAGTACGAAACAAGTATTCCTCCCTCTCGTCTCTGCCAATCGCTTGTTGCCATGCAAAAAGAATGACTAACATAATTGTAGAGATGTACGAACTGTTCGAATCGAATCAAGTGAAATTCGATTCGATTCAACCCAAGTAGAACAAAGCTATCTTAAAGTATTTCATTTTTCTATGTAAAATTAGGTCAAGATAACTTCATTTTCGGTAAAAAAGTTAAGTTTCTGTTTACTGAAAAGGTTATCTAATGTCCGAAAGATTACTTTTAATATCCAAAAAGATATCATTTAGATATAAAAGTATCAAGGTACATGGATATTAATTAAATATATAACAAATGATAATTGTAAGATAATTGTAAGACGCCTAAATGAACTAGCTATTAACCAACTGTAAACTGTTATCGATGTCATATTAATGGAGACGAATTATTGACATTGACTTGTTATCTTATAGATACGTTCAAAAAGTTAACTTCAAGAACGTTAATCAATAGGCAAATCCTGTTCTACTTGAGTAAATTCGAGTCCCTATGATTCGAATCCGAATAATTCGAAAATTTCGAATCGAAAAGATTCGAATACAGATCGCGTAAATTAGCATTAACGAAGAACTATTAGACATCCAGTCTTACGGCAATTAGCATGACTTCAAAAGTTTGCTATACATTAAGATTTTCTTCAAAATATTAAAAGAAAATAATGGCTTCTAGATAAACTCTAATCAACAACTGTCGGATCGACATGTGTCGTTGCGTAGCTGAATCATAAATTGATTTCACATGATCAATGTTATCTCTCTCATACTGAAATCACTATTTTCATGTTGAATTCAATGATTATGTTAATTAAAAATTCTTTCAACGATTTGATTTGATTCGGGTGAAATTTCATCGATTCGAATTCGAAATTAAAATCTGAGATTTGATTTGATTCGATTCCACATTAAAAATCTTTGATTCGCACATCTCTACATAATTGTACACTTAAGCCAGTAAACAAAGAACATTCGATCAACATCATGAAATATTGATTTTATGCATGTCTTTGGAACGTTTTCGTTTAATATTTTAAAAACATTTTATAGATATTGTCGAGAATATTGTGCTCTTTTTGAATATCGCAGAAAAGTTTTAAAAATATTGAAGTGCCGAGATTATTCGTAATGATGTTGATATACAACATTATTATTCGTAATGATATTGATATACAACATTAAAAAACATATTAGAGAACGTTATGCGCTATTGAATATCATTGCAATGACATTATATCAATGAGTTTTTGTTTATTGAGAAGACATTAAACGTATTATACATTTTTATATAATAACGAGCTTTAACATTCTAATCGTTATTAGCCGGAGAGATAGTGGCCATGGGTTCACAGAACGGCAGTGTATACCTCTTCAGAGTATCGCGAGATGGATTTTCATACAAAAAGAGTAACAAGATCCGTGGCACACAGCCATTGATTCAGCTCGACTGGAGTTCCGATAGCCGTTTCCTTCAGACTGTCACCCAAGACTACGATCTTGTATTTTGTAAGTTACTTATTATAAATTATTTCACTTGTTTATAAAACAAAAGTCTCCTTTGTGTACATTCGGATAACGATCATGTAACTTTTTTCTAAGAGCAAAAATATGAAAAATGAAAAGTTTCATGTGAACTCTATGACTTTAGCGATTATGTAAATTTTTGAGTAATGGGAATTTGAAAATTTTCATATAAAACTTTTCACGAGCTCATATTAGAGGAAAAAAATACATGATCGCAGTAGCTATTAAATCTTGTGTAAATCTTAATTTATTTTAAGGGGATGTCAAAGTGCTGTCGTCAGAAAAGAGTCCGTTGGTCATGAAGGACGTCAAGTGGTACACTCATAACTGTACTGTTGGTTACATGGTTTCTGGTTAGTTAAAGAATCTCTTAATTATTTCCTTAGAACATATATTAAAAGTGACATAAATAAGCGTTTCGTTGTCCGAACACATATTCTTTCTTTATATAATGTACGATACATACACTGAGAGAAAAAAAGAATATTTGAAAAATGAGAAATATTTATTTTCGGCGAATATCAATAAATTTATTTAAATCTAAATTCTTTCATTTAAATAGAATAAACAATTGATTTCATGGAAAGCTAAGATTTTAAGAAAATGTATATTTTCTTATTTAAAAAATATTTATATCAGTATAAGTAAATATGTTAGTATCTACCGCGAATATTTAAAAAATTTTACAAATATTGCCTTAAATATTTTTTTTCTCTCAACATGTAAAACATGTATATTTTTTAATAATATATTCTTAAGGTTTTGCCTTCTTCAACTAATTTTAAGACAAATTATATTGCTACTAGACTCGTGTGTGCAAACTAGACTTTGTGATTGTTCGCAGGTATGTGGAATAATCGCTACTATCCTCTAACGACGGTGGTTACCACTTCTAGCAGATCAGCGGCTCACGATATGTTGGTTAGCGGAGACGCCGAAGGTTACTTAAGGCTTTTCCGATACCCGTGTACCAGTGCTAAAGCAGAGTATGTGGAGGAAAAGGTGTACAGCTCGCTGGTGGCGTGCGCCAGGTTCTTGTACAATGACCAAAATGTCGTCACTGTTGGCGGCACTGATGCCGCTTTAATGCTTTGGGAATTAGTAGATGAATAGAAAGGGAGCAAAACTTGAGACAAAGTGAAAACTGATGATTGTTGCTTTTTTACTTTTGCTTTATCATTAACGTTGCGGCTCGTATCTTCAGTACAGGATGCTGCATCGATATACAGGTCAGTATGATGCTTCCTACTCGCTGATAAACGCGCGCATTTAGACATAAACTGCATGCCGATATTTGCTGTCAGAAAATCTTATTGAAAATCTATAAGATACGTAAAATGAACCAATATTCAATATTGATAGTGAATATTGAGACGCAACCATAGATATCGCGCGGATTTGGTGGTATACTCATTTTTAAAACAGTTTATATTCATTTTTGTCAATACAAAATATTAAAATATGCAAATTATTCTACTCTTCAAATTTGAAAATTTTGATTTTCTTGGATAATATATTTCATTAAACATTAACTTATTTTTTATAAAAATATATATTAATATAAATATATACCGAAGGTACATGAGATACGAGCTAAGATGTAGATGATAGAGCAAAAAGAAAAAAGAAAAAGAAAGATATGTTTGAGTTACTTTGTACTGTAAATTTTCTGTGTACTGACATTTTGGTAAACTTGTACGTCGGGAGACATTATATCTCTCCCTACACCAATTTTGGGATTTTTTCACAGAATTGAAGAACTGATTTCTACGAGCTGTCTTATGATCTATATTAAAAAAATACGCAAACTAAACTAGAAGGAGAAATTCATAGCATGCAATCTTCATTGTATTGCGATAAAATCGGTGGGTTTAAGATGGTTCGGAAATAAGCTTTTCGATTCTGTTGCGCATACCTTCGAATATATTTCGAGAAGATTGTATTTTGGAATGTCATCTCTTCCCGTACCGGCCTCGGGATTAATGACAATTTTCCAAGCCATTGTCCCTCTTTTTGAAGTTTCGAGAAGTTTTTCGTCAGGGACAATTTTGCATGTCTGTCGACGCAACGAAATGTAAAAAAAAAAGCCACTTTTTAGCAGGCATAACGTCCGTGTACCCGTAGAATTCGATAAGTACGGGGCGCTGGCGCTCCTTGGTAGATTTTAAGGGACGAGGTAGGGCAGTGTGAGCAGTGAACTAAAATCGCCCTCAAAATTTAAATGGAAGTATAGTAAGAATTGTCTATAACATTACTTATATATTTACATACACCTTGCAGATGACTTTGACCCTCAAATTCTAGACCAATATGTTCCATAACGTTTTCAGTTGAATTTAATCCAGCAAAGAAAACGTCATTGTATTTTAAAAGTTCTATTATATGCATTTTTTCCATTTACTATATTTTAACATACTTAGGGTTTTGAAGCATGTTTTCAAATCAAAATTTGTTTTCAAATAAAAATCGTAAACTACGACATGTGAACATCCGAATTGTCAGCCTTAGGATGTAAAATAAGTGAGGGAGTTTTGAAAGTTCACTGATTGTTACTCTAGCCTCAATGCGATTAGATTTAAGCTGTCACTAGGAAGTCCAATGGAATGCACACACTCTCTCGGTCAAACATGACGTTTGAATTGGGAATCGAAACCGGTAGAATTTTGTTGGAGTCAAATTCTCGTGCTATAGAAATAACGAGGCATGCAAAGTGTGGCGAATTAATGCCTCAGAGAAAATATCAATTCGGGAAAAAGTATTTAAAGTACACAGAACGGAATTTATATTAAAAATAAAAACTAAACGATCTTATATATGTTATGGTTATAGCACAAAAAATTTGATTCCTCGCAAAATTACAGCGGCTTCGATCGTTGGCTTAAACACGGCCGCCGTCATCCTTTGTAAGTTTACGCGAGTGTCGTGTAAACGTTTGTTTGTCGCGTGAAGAGCTGTTGCGGGTCAATGCGCCTCTTCGTCGCCGCCCGGCCATTTTTGTTCGCATATTTTTAGAGAGGAGAATAATATTAAAAGAGGAAAAAAATTGTAATTATATATAAAGTTATATATAAAAGAGAAAGTGCGAGAGAAGAACACGTTTTTCGTATATTATAACTGATAAAGGTTCTTATAGATATACGCTATCGATCACAATTATTTGCTCGCCCATTCCTTCCGTCTTTTCTTTTTCGAAAATGTACATAAACATCTTGAAAAAAGTAATATTTTTACTTAAATAATATGTTCACTTAAATCAAGCCCAACAGATAAATGCGAATAGCAATTCAGCCAGAAATTCTGAAAAAATTTTCTAGTAGAATTCAGTTTATTCTTCTGTAGGTGAGCAAACACTTATGAGTGATAGTGAACGAAATCGACGGAAAAGGAAGAAGGACCTGTGAGAGAAAAGGCCGACGTAAAATTTCTTCCTTTCTCGAATATAAACAGCAAAAAGAACAAAAAACGACGTAATGGAATGACCTTTAGCACACACACACATACACACACACACACACACACACATTTTTAAAAGAACATAAAAGAACACAACAAACATTTTTAAAAGAATTCCTTTAATTCTCAATTTCTAATGGAAAAGAATCAAACCGGAGAACCTTTTTCTCTCATAGCTTTTTCTTTACGTTTCTTGTATTTACTGTCACAATAGTGTTAAGAAGCGGTTTTTAGGATCGTCACTGCCAAGGCATCGAGCTTGAAATTTTATCGCGACTCTCTAAACATCTAACAGATTGACCTATGATGTCAATTCCTTTTGTTTTCACGTTTATTTGATACTTTATAAAAATGCAGATTGACACACATTATTATTTATCGAAGCTGTCAATAGCGAGGCAACATTTAACACGTAATAGTAAAATTTGTTTCATCTCGGTTATAATAAAAAAATAGGAACAATCAATTGGCGATAAAATCTTCAACGATATTAAGATTAGATTGCAACGAGTAAGTGATAAGGTTCAAAAGAGGAACTTAATTGTATTGTTGGATAATATTCGTGTTGGATTCGATGAACTTGCGCAAGAATATCGGGCAATGCGTACGCATGATGAAATTTCGATTTTCGATGCAGCCACGAGACAACAAAAAAAACGAAAAAAAAAAAACAAATCGAAAAGCAGATTCTGTTTGCGACGTAATATCGAAGTAAAAGTTATTAATGTAGAATACGATAAAGTTACAATAAATTCTGCACATTACACTAAACGAAATATGATTGCAGTAATTTCTGTGACGTTATTATTCATTTAGTCGAGTTACACACGAAAGTAATAATGTTTTAAAAGTTGCAATATTGGAAGTGATCGTTCTTAAGGTAACATATATAACGATTACGGATAATATTATAGCAACATATAACGATTACGAATGACATTATAATTGTTATTATAAAATAATAACAATTATTCGTAACTTATAACGTTAAAAATACATTTATTTGTATGTAATCTGATAACTAAAATATTATTTGCACATATATATGGTCTTATTTGATTTTTTCGGCTTAATCGTCAGCTTTAATCGATAGATTGGAATTCGAGATTTATTTCTAACGAATTTACAGAAGAAGATTCATAATCACACTTCCATGATATCGCTACAGTCGTTGAGTTCACATGAAACTTTTCACGTTTCGGCCAAATCTAGAAAACGAGGCGATCATCGAATTGGTCCATATGTACTTATAATACGATCTCTCAAAGTGATTTCCTGAAGATAGTAGTGAGATTCGTACTTTGCTTATAAGTGCTACTATTTAAAATAATGCTGCACATTTGATATTAAATATTAACAAAAGTGACATATGTGATAGTACGTTGAATTAATCTTAAAGTCCTCTACAATATTATGTAAAAAAAAGTGCACTGGGTCGATACCATTTCAAAATTTCAAGGTGACCTTAATTTCTTTATGAAAAAAAAATTTTTTTTACTGAGGAAATAAAGCTCAGATTTTCTAAAAAAAAAAATACTATAAATTCATCTACGCCATCGATCACTGCTAAAATAAAAAATTTCGTTTTACGGCCAAAAAAACAATTTCACTACAGCCAAAGAAATTAATTTCAATTTCATTCAATTTCATAAATGGCCTGATATATCCACTTATAGGAAGGAAGCTGGAGTCCAAAGATTTAATGAAAAGTTTTTCTTATCAAGGAAACTTGATAAGGAAAACTATTTTAATGTGGTTTTTAGAAAAATCCTGTCTAAGGCTGATTCCAGCATCTCACCCGCTAAGTTCTTTGTATAACACACCATCTTAAGGCTTTAATAGCTGCCAGATAGCACAGAGAATTCAAAAAAAAGAATTCAGTCGTATGTCACTAATTCTGAGTTTATTTTCAGATGCAAAAAGAATTCTTCAGAGTTCAGTTCAGTGAAAAAAATTATTTTTGCATCTAAAAAGTGAACTCAGAATTGATGACAGAATTTTTTTTTAATTCTCTGTGCTATCTGGGTGGATTCTGCAACTCGTTAACTGTCGTTAACGACACTATTACTAACACTGTGTGTCGTTGGGCATTTTTTCTAACATACTATATCTGCGCGACGTTAATATTAATTCATTAACGATAAATTAATGAGTTACAGAATCGCACTGCGGGAGTCTTAATTAACAGCACATGCTCGGTCCAGATATTCTATCAATATTTTGTTTTTGCTTATTGAATTAATACTGGGTAATAATAAATAATTAACAATGCATAATACTTGTTCATTTATTTCTTTTATTCTTTGTTAAAAATAATTATACTCTGTCTTCATGATATAATTAATTATTAAATGCACATAAATGCCATGGTATTATTGTAGTTAATAAACATTGTATATGTACAAAAACTCATCTTTCTCTTTATCTCAACAAATAGTTTGTGTCAAGAAACGCAATTTCTACCCAAATCTGTATTAATTTGTTACAATTTTACTTTTTGTGTTATATTGTTCAAATATATTAATATATCAATAAAGAAACAATTTTATAAATCATTTCTCGCATTATTTGTATTACTTTTAAAATGCGTTTCATAAAAATCGTTTATCATGTCGGTAACAGATTCTATTTGTAACACTGTGATATCTATCACACGTTGCAGCAAGTCTATGGTGTGTTTATGATAAGTTTTCAATGGTAGGCCCAACAATGTTTGTGCATTTTGCAGAAATGTATCTGTTTGTTGTTCATAATGCCATGAAAAAACTAATAGTGCTATAGTAAGCAATGAACTGATTATGAAGAACCATATAGTTATCCATGTAAGAGATCGATACAATTTAGTGCCTGACTTACCAACAGCTACAAAATAAATGATAATATTGAATTAATCACAAATCAGACTTACAGATGTAAATTGTGAATATAAAAGTTCATTACCTGTAAATTTATGCGATTCGTGTCTACACGCATTATTAGAAAATTCAGTTAATCTTATATTATCATTATTGTCCTGCAAATCTTTGTTCTGTGTTGAAGACTCAATTTTATTTGAGTTTGTCTTATATTCCTTTTCTGAATCTCTCTTCTTTTTCTTTTTACTTTCCTTCTTTACAGTTGTCACTTCTTTCTCTGTCTCACCTGGAATATTTAATGTTACGATGATATATACAATTTGTGCAATGACTGTATAATAAATTATATGCATACAATACCTGTGGTATTATTTAATCTACGTAACTTCTCTTCTTCTATGAGAAGTTTAACAGTAGATAAATAATTGACAACATTGCGAGCACAAGCTTGACACTCGTTCAAGTTACTACATGGTCCCGCTACAGATGCTACAGCTTCAGTCAAGGGATTTTCCTTCAAGTCCAACCATCTTAGGTTCTTTAGTTCACTTAGACTTAATGGTAATCTGCTGATCTATAAATTACATTGCACTACGGATATCAAAATTTACAAAATAATTGTATAAAAATTGAAAGCAATTTACTTACCTGATTAGCATATAAATCAAGATGTCTTAATTGTGTCATTGCACCAAAGTTTTCAGGCAATTCAGTTAACATGTTTCTACTGAGATCCAACTTCACAATTTGTCTTAGAGTAACAAAAGTAGTCTACAATAAGTTTTGTGTCAATAAAATTATTTAGATAGTGAGAAAAAGTTATATTGCAATAATAACATACCGGCAATGAAACCAGAAGATTGGTCGATAAATTTACATTTGTGGCTTTCCTGATAGATGCCTAGAAAATTTAACATTTGACAGAAAATTTGACAGAATATTTAAAAAAAAAGAAAAGAAAGTTTATAGGATTTTTATTTGGTAATGAACATTTTATGTCCGTAATATTAGATATTAGATTATAAAGTTCGTTCTGTGTTCTGTTTTATTGATATAAACACTTAATTTATAAAAGGAAATTGAATAAAAGGAATTGATTGTTACTCACGATTTCTCGCACAGGTACTTCTTTCAGTTCACATAAACTAAGGTCAAGACTATTGTCTTTCAGTTTGTCCTTTATGTTCTTCAGATTTAATTTTACTGTCATATTTATTGTTTTATAAAATGCAAAACGTAAAATAGAGAATACAATAACCTGACGTGTACCGTATGTTGGCCGTAATGTCGGATTGTCGGTTATCGCGATGGATTACTATACCTTTGCGGGTATCTTATAAAAATTACTTTAAGGCCATTCTACAATTGCATAAAGGCTGTCTACAATGGGAGTAAAATATGGCTGTAAAAAGTAAGAAGATCACCAATCACAGTCGATTATTCTTCTCATATTCGACTGTGATTGTCAATTTTTTATGGGCTTTCTACAATAAGCCATTAATCATAAGCCGCAAGCAAATTGACCAATCACAGTTGATTATTTTAAAAATAATTATTTTCAAAAATAATCGATTGTGATTGGCTAGATTGTGGAAGGCCCATAAAGTCTACCAACTTTATAACTCAATTCACAGTTTTCGAAATCGATTTCAAAACTCCATTCTACCGTTATTGTGCAAGATTACATTCCAAAATGTCCTTATTGAGGAAAATTTACTCAATATCTATAATTCACGTTACATATACTATAAAGTATCGAGTAAAATTTCCTAAAAAAAAAGACGTTTTGGAGAATGCAACTCTAGAAACTAATGCGTTTAATCGAAAATGTCTAGTAACTCTCGATGTAGGGAATAGTAAAGCTGATGAATCGACGTCGCCATTTCGATACTAACCTAACTTAAGCCGACCTAACCCGACTTGACCACGAGTCGTAAAAGTGTTTGTGCTCCTCTCTTTCGAAGTCCTGCGTGCGTCACGGTGAGTTTATGTTCATGCTAAATTTTGTATCCGTTTCATTTCCTCGTCATCCTTTGTAGTTTTATCGAAGTATCACTTTACACTCGTTGGAAAAGTACGCGTTATTTTATATGACTTGTACGTTTCGCGTTTCATCTATGATTTACTTTCTTTTTACTGTTTCAGAATCAGCTACGTTAACGAGTAGACGACCGTTTAAGAATGGTAAATATACAAATATTTTAAGAATTTCGTTTAATTACACTTTGTATTTTTATCAGATACGTGTAAAAGTCACTTGCAATTTGTATATAATGTCAATATATTTGTCGCAATATTTATATCTATATCTATAACATAACCTCAAAAATTGTTAAACTGTAGTATCGAAAATGTATATAAAGCTAATTTAAATGAATTTTCTTTAAATTTCCAGCCACGTGAAATCAAGGAAATCAAGGACTTTCTGCTGAAAGCCAGAAGGAAGGATGCAAAATGTGAGATATTTAGATAAATTAGAACATTAGTTTTACAGTATTTTTGTGCTCTGTCTTACTGATTTTGTTTTGCACAGCTGTTAAAATTAAGAAGAACGCCGACAATGTGAAATTCAAGGTTCGCTGTTCCCGATTTTTGTATACTCTTGTGATTACTGACAAGGAAAAGGCAGAGAAGTTAAAGCAGTCTCTACCACCAGGTAAAACATAAAACTAATAAAAAGTTGTTTGATCATATTGTTACTGATAATATTTGTCAATATTCTTTAGTATTAAAAATTTTATCATAGTCCCACCATGTGTTATGTTTGTGTGATTATTTTGTATTGTATGTCTATATAAACCAATTAGGTCTATTTTACATTATTATATAAAGAAAACAAGGCAAAAAATTAATAGTTTATAGAGATATTTTCCTAAATAAATAATGTTATGTATGATATGTTATATGGTGGAAATTGTTACAGGTTTACAAGTTAAGGAAGTAAAAAGGAGTGAACGTGTATAAAAAATGACTTAAAATAAACTTTCTTCTTAAATGAGTGTTTGTACAATTTTACCTATATTATAACAAGAGCTTAATGCTATATTGAAAAATTGGAGTATAGAGAAATAATTATTAATATTTCTAAAGAAACCTTTCAAATATTTTGTTAAAAGATGTTAATTTGTAATATTATTTAATAAGTACTCTAGCAGCACATAGTTGGCCAATGGTTGGTTGCTATAGATTCTACATTTGCCCAATATCTTAAGGCCAAATCACACTAGCAATTGATAATTAATGATTGAAGATTAGATTTTGACGAATCAACGAGCTTCAATCTTGGCTTGCTTTGTTCCAATTGATCAAGTTGCAATCTTCAATCACCAGTGTGATACAAGCTTTATGCTGCTTGGACATTCAATCATTGAGTATGTATGTATTAATAATACAGAACGAAAATATTGTATCAATAAATTTCTTCTCAAACTTATTTAGTTTTTCATAAAATATAAATATAATACATACAGAGATATCTAAAATAATCTATTTTAGTTAGAGTATAAGCAGTTGTATCAATAGTTTGGAATAATTCTCCACAGTATCAAATCAAGTTATATTTTTCTATACTATAATATATTCTTTGCATTATATTTTAATTATTCGTATATTAATTTTTTTTTATTTATTGTCGTCGAAATCTTTCCGGAAAGAAATAATTTATTATTAGTGTATTAATTTTTACTAAGAAAAAAAATTACAGTACTTTTGATTATTTAGCTTGCACACACCACTTTTAGCTCATTTATACTTTGTGTGCATCTTACAACACATTGATAATTAGTAATAAATTAACACAGCAAATAAAAAATGCTGAAAAATGTTACTTCAATTCAGAAAATGTAAATGTCACGGTTACAGCGCAAGCTAATATAAAATTGAATATATCCAAAGAAGCTGCGACAAAAATACCTTTTCAAAGTATCTTTCTCCGTCTTTGTTTCTGCTTCAACTTAAACAAAGACAGACATATAATTCAACTACCAGTTAACTTACCAAGTTAAAACAACCGGCCCATAGTAGAGCTTTGGAACACGGCCCAGAATGTATAGCTATAAAGTTAAAGTAAGCTGATGAGGATTCAGTAGTTTCACGTAAAGTTCAAGTATTTATTTTTGTCGTTTTTTTTTCCCTGACAGGCGAATACGCTAGTTGTTTCACACATGAAATGATATCAATGGGATACAATTATATCTTGAATAAAATTACTTGTTATACTTTTCTGTGCACATTATTTGCTGTATTACTTTGCGCGAATAAAAACATTACCAGGACCGTACTCGTCTATGATACTACGCACATGCTTATCTACCTAATGCACTACGCATTCGCTGTACCGCAATAAACGGTGACACAGAGAAAAAAAATTAGATCCTACCAATCCTTCTGGACTATTATGTATAACTACATTGGGATCATACTGTCGCGCCTGTTAAATTGGATACAAATATTACTTATAACAATAATTTCATTATAATAGCCGTCAAAAATTCATTCGTTTTTGTACTTATCCGAAAAAAGGTAAGTACGGCTCTGGAAATCGTTCCTCTCGACTGCTGTAATATTTTACAGAAGTAGAAACAAAATTATTTTTATTCCCTTCCCCTGCACCCCTTTTCTCTCTTTCTTTACGGGGAATAGTATTACGTTGAAAAAGTTCGTGCGCAATAATGAAGTTTTCTTTTAAACGAAAAAAAAAAGTATCTAAAGCAGACAGCAAAATGCGTATATAGACCAATCACCCTTTCTTCTCATTCCTGGACGCGTTCACTCCTCAAATGGAGTATATGCACATCATATATTCATAGTTTTTAGTATCGTATATCGTAACTTATTCACGTTTTTGATATATTCTTTTTTGTTTTCATCCTTAAAACGCCTTCCATTCTTTCTCTTTCTTTCTTGTAAAACTACGGACTATATGTAGAAAGTAAATTCTTTGAATAGAATAAAGATACTGGGACCGCGTGTGACGATGTGCTTCCTCATTCGTCGCATTCGTGGTAGGTTGCCCTACAAAGAATACAAAATTTCTTTTTTCTCTTACAAAGGATATACATTGATATTTCCGAGATATACATTTATATCAACGCTCCTGCATTAACCCTTAGACTGCGAGTTGCTCAGCGACAAGACGATCGTTCTGTGCAACGCGGAGTTAGTGCTAGTCGTCAAGATTTACTTCCATACATAGTTAATGGTGAGTGTCAGATGCTTTCAGGCGCTGTCCACACGCAGTGAGAGTTGATCGTCAAACGTTCCAAGACGCTGTCCGCAGCAGTGAAGACCTTCACTGAAGAGGCTACACACGTGAGCCATCCACAGTCTAAGAGTTAATACTTGATCCACATCGAACCATTATTTCACGACAATTTCGTCGGACCATCTAAACTTTGTAAAAATTTTAACAATTTATAAATTTTTAAAATATCAAATAAATATATATTTAATATTTAATAAATCTACATTACACAAATATTTTTATGTTGAAATATATGTTAAAAATAAGTGTAAATTTACTTAAAACTAGTAACGTAGTTCCATGTACCAAACTTTAATGGCTTCTACATACACACATACACATACAGAATGCGGGAACATTTGCCGTGCGGCAACGCCAATGACGTGGTAGCCAATCAACGTGCCGTATTCCGATAAAAGATGGAGGATTGGCTACCGCGTCACTTCTTGCCGCGTGACATGAGTTTTCACGTTCTGTGTGCTAAAGCCATAAGGCTCTTAGTCACTCGTCGCGGAAGTCGACTGATGACATCAGAAGCGAGAAAATACACGCTCAAAATTCTTGCAAAATATGTTGAAATGGGCATCTATAAAATGCAATTGATCAATCTGATCTGCAGGACTGCCTGAAAATTTATTTTTTTGCTGTAATCAATATAAATTATCGTAAAATTAACGTAATACACCTGCACTTTCAACCTTTCCCCTTATGATCGTCGCGTTAACTTCGCAGTCGTTTATCGATTTTCAGAGCAAAAGAAACGCGTTCGGACTATTTTACAAATCTATTCGATCGTACGACTTTATAAATGTCCATTTCAACATGTTGCAAGCATTTAGAACGTACATTTTCTCGCGACTGACGTCATCAATCAAGATGGCCGCGACGAGCAATCAGGAACCTCAAGAATTAAAGCACAATAAAGCAGAAGATTACCTTTGCTTGTCCATGTGACGTCGAGATAATCTTCTCCCAGAGTCGCGTGTCGATAAGGTGTACCGTTTAGTGTGTGCCCGATTCGTCCTGAGTTCCCGTAAGTCCGCGGTCTTCATTTTCTCGAGTTTTTGCATAAACTTGTTGATCAGTTCTGGGCAATTGAGATTCTCCTCTGGCTCCCATGTGTCGTCTGTCGCACTGAACCCCTTCCATCTGATCAAGAATTCCCTTTTGCCATTTTTCTTAAAGTGTACCTCGATAATTCTCTCCACCTCAAATTCTTTTAAGCTCTCTTTTTCTTTTGGTTCCTCTGTGACATCCAAATCTTCTGGAAAAGAATCATTCACGTTGAAAATACAGGCGCAACAAATACGACCGTGCAAGCAAAACCAGTAAAAAATAACGTGCCATGTTCCGTTTGTTTCTTAGAACTACCTCTAGCTTTTTTAGATTTGTCAGTTTTGGTCGTCTTTGTTTTTGCCGGTTTGCTTTCTTTCTCACTCGCCAGAAACTCCTCTATCAACTTGGGACAACTTAGATCCTTCTCATTTTCCCAAGAGTCAGAAGCGTTACTGTAACCCTTCCACCGTATCAGAAATTGTCGACGACCTTTAATGGTACGATGGCCGACGATCATGTCCACCTGAAAGCAAGATCCGTGTATCTGGCAGGATATATATTTGACAGTGTTGAAGTTGGCATGCAGTTGGCTGCAAAGACTCTTCCTCCACGAATCTCACATTCCATATTCAAAATAAATCTTCTAGAGCCGAGTCTACGATACGATATCGTAGAGCTTTTAGTTTTATACTTTAAAGTCTATAATTTCTGACAAAAATCGTTTCCCGCACTGCTTTGGAGTCTGAAAGAATCAGCTCGCTCAAAGCTTAGGAAAAATTCTGACTCCCAGTAGCAGTAGAAAATTTTGTAGCAGAAAATTCCGCCACGGTTTTGGATATAAAACTAAAAGCTACTACATCTGGTTTAAGAATTATTAAAAAAAAATAACAAAGAACATCTATGTGAAGCCACAAACACTTTGGAGCACGCAAAGAATGACTATAATTGATCTGTAAGACATTTTTAAGCACTTGCAGCATCAAGTGAAGTTACTTTACAATGTGATTATACCTGCTGCAGTTCAAAAAGTTCTTTAAAAAAGAACCAGGTTCAATGTTTATTACTAAATACGTAACAAAATTCATCACAAAAAAGCAGAGGAAGCTCTTTGCCACAGTTGTAAAACTTGTGAATCTTATGATTGCTGTATATTCTCAACCCTGACTGAATCTAAGAACACGCACCAGTCAGATTCGCTGATCTTAGCAAAATAGTTTTTTTTTTGCTGAATGCAGCTAATACAATTTTCAATCAGTTGACTAACCATATTTAACTTGCGACATTATTAACGTTTATATGGTTACAAAATACAATAAAACTGATTTAATGAAAATGATCATTTACCGACGTCAGTGATTAATCACCGAATGTTTACATTTTCGTTATACCACACACACACACACAATCTCAGATAATTAAAAAAAGAATCCTTAGTGGCTCATATTATTGTTTTACAGTGAAAAAAATACTCGAAAATTGATTTGTGGGATGTAAAGTTTATTTATGTAAAAAAAAAGTTTATGTGAAAAAAAGTTTATTTCTTTGAAAAAATAATTTTTATGAATTATTTATAAAATTATTTCTGTGAAAAAAGTTAATTTCCACGAGTAAACTTTATATCCCGCAATGAAATCTCCAAGTATTTCTCTCTTGGTACAATTTCTGGCGCGCGATACGCGCCTTCCCGCGCAGCGGCGTCATAGCGTCAAAAGACAAAGAGAGAAAGAGGGGAGAGAGAGAGAGATACAGAGAGAAGATGGTATGTACTGAATATGACGACGTATGCCCGCTGTATAATGATCGTCACTGTGCACGACTTTCGCTTCGCGCAGAGAGTACGAGAACTCGAAAAACACAACGTAATCAGACAGATATGAGAATACGCCGATCGCATATGCCGCGGAAAAACACATGGAAGAGTCGAACGATATCTTCCAACCGATCACGCGGCGCGCGCGCGGCGGCAGCGGCGGCGGCGGCGGCATTTTGCGTATCGCAAGTCGACGCGACGCTGAGCGGGACCAAAGCCGCGCAGCTCTCTCAGCGTTGTGACGTTTTAATCACAAAGGGACGAAACAGCAACGGCACTATACCTCGTACTCATTTTCCTCGCCGGTCTCCTCGCGCGCCGAGGTGGATGCCTTCTGGTCCTCCTTCCTCTTGCGCTTGTTTGGCGATGGCTTCGTCTTCTCACCGTTCTCCCGTTCCTCCAGCTCCTCCTTCAGCTCGTCCTTCACATCGCCGCTGTTATCCGCGTGCTTCTGCTGCGCTGTGCCGCGCGAGCGCCTCTTCATGGCGGACTTTCGCATAGCAGGGCTCGTAGCCGTCTCGGACGTAGCGTTGTGATTATTCCTGCCGGCGGCGGCGGTCTTCTGCGTCTCGTCTTTGCCGTTGTCGACGTTGCCGCCATTTTCCTCCGACTCGCTACCGCTCATCGTCTCTGATTTTCTACGCTTGTTCCGCATGCTGAGTCGACGCATAGTACCACGCACTCCACTGTATACTCCGCGCAACCCCGCAACAATATGCTGTCTGGGTCTTCGATCACCTAAATGAGGGTCGTCAAAATTCTTACGTTGAAATGTGTTCAGTAGCTGTACGCGCCACCTACAGGTTTTCCTGTGGGTAACGTGGGTGAAATGACGATGTGGCCTCAACCGATCGATCAAAATACATCCCTGCTGGCTCTTGCATTCAGATTTATCGCCCGTTTCGAATTTATATGCACTTTTTAGTCGATCCCTTCATTAATTTTTCGGCTTATTATCGTTATTTTGATTCACGACGATTTCTGTAAACATCTCTTCAGTATTAGGTGGCGCTGAGGTCGCTATCGTTATCGTAGTTGTTACCACGCAAACATCACCTTGGGCACGATATGACGGAAGCAGTGGCCAGTTTGAATTTGCTGGCGAATAACATTAAATGGCTGAAAATGTCTGATGTTTATCATCGATGACGCAATTAATTCCAATGTTCAGATGATGATAAGAAACTTAAACCTATTACTGTCCCTGCCCTGCCTGCCTTTGTAGAGACCCTAGAAGATAACAGCGTAGAGAGAAAAGTTTGGAAGTTAATCACATCTTACATTTGCGCGTGAATTCTTTTAAACAAAAAAATTAAAAATTTCTTCAGGTTCTTTCATGAAACGTTTTACCTGATCTTAATTCACACTTACGGGATCGGTCAGTACCAATTACACTCATCCTTCTATTCCTCGTTGTCCTGGCAACGTGTCTACAATCGAAACTTATTTGATATAAGTCCTTCTCTTCTCTTTCTTCTTCTGATTCGTCCCGTTAATTTTAACTTTTTCTCGTCAATATGGCTAAATTCGTGAGTACTTATGAGAAACCTTTGCCTCACATCAGTCTGCCCGATTGGTATGCTACGCAATGGGAGCTTCGACAATCCTCAGACGCTCAGAGATCCGAAGCTCATAGACTACGCGACTTCAGCAAATCTGTGCGTCTTGAGACGGACGTAAGGACCAAGTGGGACATTAATATAAATAATGATCGACTGGCGGATAGGTGGGTCTTATCAGTACGATCATTGAAGTTTAGTAGAACTAAAAAGAATACAAAAATGCTGTCAATAACTTTGCACCGAACTAAATCGATCTTTTTTGTATGAGCAGAGCTATAATTAATTTTGTAAATATTCAGAGGGAAAAGAGATAACATCCTAGTAAGCAAATTAATAGCAAAATACGCGCAGATTGGCAGCGGTTTGATCAAAATCCCATACCAAAACCATAACCATCTGCGTCCGCATTCAGCTCGTATTTTATCGTCAGACCTAGATAACACACGATATTCTATGGATATCCTATGGACGTTTTTAGAACACTAGAATGTCCCCTGAACATCTTTAGGATGTCCTTGGAAGATTTGTGCTGTTGGAGAGAGTCTGCTGACAGATAGTGTTTGCTGGTCTTTACAAAGTCTTCACTTTTAATGAAGTTAGAATATTTTTAGTAGACTCATCAATCACTCTTATTAGTTTAGCATAAAACGAAAGATTTTACGAATAAAATATTTTTGTCGAAAACACAATAATCATTCTCTAAAAAATGGCTTTGTCTGGTTAGAAAGTGAACAGCATTTTAACACGACATACGTCAATTTTCCACCGTTAGCAACATTAATTTATGATGACTTAAAAAAGAAAAAAAACTTTAAATTTCATTTTATAACATTTCGAGAACCCCTTACTCCTTGCTAGACATCACTTCATCTATCTTTCCTACAACACATCTTAAACTGTGTGAGGTGTGATATTTTGAGTCTAAATCTGATATCTGAACATTCATCATCAATATTTTTGTTTTTTTTTTTCTTTCTATAGAGTCACAGAATTGTCAAAATGGAAAAACGATCTTGAGGACTTGACGCAACAGTTACTATTCGAGATACATTCACTGAGCGACGAGAAGACTAACGCAGAAAGAGAAATAGAGAACATGAGCAATCTTCTTCAAGTAGTCAGCGAATGTATCTCGACGAGGGACCGTCGTAGGAGAACCGAACTTACGTACGACGAGACCGATATTCAGCTAAAAAAGGAACTTTGCATGGTCGCAAATATTAAAGACGCCTTGACCAAAAGGTGATGAAGATTAATGCTTGTAATAATAGTTATTACTTGAAACGCGTCTCAAGTGAGATACTCAGACCTGTATCAATAGTCGTTACATGAAGGTTGTTTCCTGTGTATGAGATTCTCAGATTTTTATTTAAAATTAGATCCAATTTTTTCAATTAAATTGTATGATATATATGACATTATATCTGTGATCGCAATTCGACTTTTATCTAACTATGAACTCAAATCTGAGTATTTCATTTGAGAAGAACTTCAAGTAACGACTAAGGTGACTCTAAAATTTTTTGCCACATATTCAGTTCACGAACTTAGTTTACGTCAATATTTACTTGATACAAAAGTTCTACAGCTTGTATATATCGTGTATATATTGTGTGTGTGTATACATATGTTTGCTCCGCTAGCAAAAAATTCAAGGAACATTTCTGTATCTTTACAATTGAATTTAGAAGCTTAAAGATATATGAAAAGTTTGCAAAAAAATTTCTGTTTACGCGTGGTTATGTTTTCTGCCAGCATGAAACAAAGTAGCACACATTTATATAAGATGAACAGAAATACGAAAAAGATAATATCATTATATTAGTAACAAATTTCTATTGATATTTTTGGAATTCGTCATTTCGGCAATCTCTTAAGGCGATGCTGGATATCGATATATATCGACATACAGTTTCGTAGTTTTCTCTTTTCTTCTAATTGGATGTATCAAATTGAAAATGCTTTTACAGGCTTGAACTACAAACGTTAATGAATGCTAAACAATTGCATAAAATCAACAAAATTTTTTTTATAAATAAACGGTAAAAATAACAAATTTTTGTTAATTTTATGCGACTATTTAGTATCAACCACTCATTAACGTTTATACTTTCACCCTGTAAAAGTATTTTCAATTTGATGTATCCAATTAGAAAAAGAGAAAAAACGAAAATTGCATCATGTTGATGTCTAGTATCGTCTTAATATGGAACTCAGATTTGAATTCAGAATTAGATTTAGTTAAATCGTGACTACAAAAATAAAAGTAATATATATTATAATTCAATTGAAAAGCTCTCGGGAAAAAAGTTTATATAATCATATAAAAATATATATAATTATAGAATATATATAATTATGATTATATATGATGATAATTATATATAATTATATATGAATTTTTCTTATCTACATATTTATGATCTTATATATGACCACATCTAATTATATATGTCTATACGTAAAACAAATATTGTTGAATGAAAAAAGAAAAACATAATTTGTGATTTAATTAAACATCGACATCATGGACAATCGACATTACTACAAAAATAAGCATTTACTTCAATTGTATCTTCACAACAGTATACTTTTCAATGTGGAGATATATAAATTATGTATGTACAATCATTTATAACTATATATGGACAAAATCCATGTATGAACTTTTTCCCCGAGTTTGGTTTCAACTATGAATAAATATCTGAACACTTCATGTGAGTCAAGCTTCAGGTAACAACTGTTAATACAAGTCTAAGAACGATAGATAAAACAAGGAATCAGTTCCTTTTTTCGAATTTCAGAGTACAAACCGCGTGGGAGAAGCTGAACAGTTTAGAAAGCGTCAAGTTTGACCTGAGTGTGGACACACAGGACAAGAATGAGACAATCAAAATAGACAAAGAAAATCTCGAGTTGGATCGCACTTGTGCGAACATAAGTTACAAACCGATTGGCGAGAAAACGCAGTAAAGTCGAGTTCCATTCTAGATACACGTCGACTTGCAATAGATTTAACTTATTTTCTCCATCTCGACAGCTCGATCACTTACACGACTTGGTTGGACCGATGTCGTGGTATTAAAGCATTAGCCGATGATAAGTTGAGCGACTCTTACAGTTTCCGTGAGACTACGCGCGTAATGCGAGAACACTCGTGGAATGACATTAGAGCTCAACAAGATGCGACAGATTATACTTTGAGAAAGAGGATCTATCAGACGCAAAAGGCCAGAAATGAATTGGACTGGCAGAAGCTCAAAGTATCGCGCTAGATTGATCGTTTTTTCGCTTTTATTTTAATAAATCTCAATAAGAGAGGAGTAAAACAGCGTATTAAAATATAAATAAAAATATAATCAGGAACAAGCATTTTTAAATATAACAGAAAAAGAACTTTCTCACCTATGTTCCTCGATCTGGATAGGTGCAGAAGGAAATGGAGGTGTTGAAGAAGGAAATAACTCGGCTGGAAGGGGCGTTGACGAGCAAAATAGACGTGGTGAAGTGTGCACAGACGCGTTTAGAAAATCGCGCTTATCGACCCGGATACGAGCTCTGTAAGGATGATGTTGAAACTGGTTTGTGGAGTGAGGTTCTGCAATTGAAACAGACCAAGGAAAACTTGAATGGAGCTATCGAGAGTGCAAAGTACGAAAGAACGTCGCAATGATAATTCTTTTGTCGTACTATTCATCTACTACTTAGTCGCACGTCTTAAGACCCGTATTAATAATTATCACCTAAAACTCGAGTAAAATATTCAAATTTAAATTTGGGTCTCAAATAAAATATTTAGATTTAAATTCAAAATTAGATAAGAACTTTTTAGTTAAATTGTTATTACAAATATAAATGTCACATATATCATAACAACTAAAAAAATTGAACTTAATCCTGGATGAAAATGCGAGTAAGGGAAACCGGGACTACTGTTAACAAGGACAAATAATAATTATGCTTCTATTTCATAAAGGAACAAAAATAGAATAATGCTTTAAAGACAAAAAATTCTCGTCATGAGTTCTATTTCTGTTTCTTTATGAAATAGAAGCATTGTTATAATTTATCCTAATTAAAATTAGCTTCAGTCTCCTCTATTTCATATGAGACAAGTTTTTAGGTGACAACTCTTAATACGAACCTAAGATCTGTATTAATAATCATTACTTGAAACTTGTTTCAAGTAAGATTCTCAAATTTGAATTTAGAATTAGTTGCAAATTTTTCAGCTAAATTGCGTTTACAGATGCAGAGAAATATAAATGTTACATATATCACAATGCAACTGAAAAATTTCGACCTAATTCTGAGTAAAAATGTAAACATCTCACATGAGACAAGTTTCAGAGCAGCAATCCCATAATTTTTTTCTAGAATGGAAATGTGACAAGTAAAAGTCATGTAAACATTTTCAAGCCTTGAAAACTTGAACTCGATCATGAATCTTTCCTCTAGCATGAATTCGTGAAAAATTTAACCTTAAAAACATATAAAAATGTTCACTTTTCACAAGTTTACATTGGAAAGAAAGATACATAATCGCCTTCAAATATTGTAAAATTATTCACTCTTCATGATCTCATAATACGAGAATAAATTGCACGATTAATAAGATTGAGTTCACGTGAAACTTTTCACTTTTCACGAGTTCATACTAGGAGAAAACATACATGATCGACATCTCGTGGCAAAAAGATAGAAATTCAGTGATAAACTCTAGATATTTTTTTTAGCGTAGGTATATTCTCGAGCGTGCCTGCACTAATAATTATATTTGAAACTTGTTCTAAATAAAATTTTCAAATTTGAATGTACCTTCTCCTTCCCCTAATAGTACAGTTCATTTGCATTGGTTACATTGGCATACATTGAGCCAACATATGTAGCCAGTATTAATAACAAACGAATTATTAATATTCGGAATTCTACATTGGCTATAAAATACAAGACGTCCACTTTACAATACTGGGCCAATATTGAATATATTGGGATCCAATTTATAGCCAATATTCCCTCAATAAACTGTGCTACTAGGGTTAGAGTTAGATATGAGTTTTTTAGCTGAATCGCGCTTACAAATATAACGTCGCGTATATTACACGATTTAACTTGAAAACTTGAGTCTAACTCTGAATATAAGTCCGAGTGTTTCACATGAGACAAGTTTCAATTAACGCTGTTGATACAAGCCTTTCACTTCAAATTAATGAACTTGACAGTAAATTTGTTTTTTTCCAGAACGAGCTACAACAGCCTGGAATCTTTGCTTACGCGTATCGATCATGATCTGGACGACAAACAGCACTCCATGAACATCGACATCATGTGCTTGGACTCGAGGTCAATACTGAAGACAGGCGACAGGGCGCGTTTGTCTAACGAAACCGACCGTAACATCGTGTTAACGCGCATGGAAAAAGAGCTGCCACTGGAATCTTAAGTCCAGCGCGCGACAATCCAAAGTAATGCACTCATTAAGATAATTATAAGGATCGTCCTCGCGTTTTAATTTTCCACATGCAGTCGATTATTGCTCTCGTTTCTCACCTCGTTTCGGCATATCATGTCACGTTTCCGTCTTCAGTATAACATGCCACGTACCAGCATGCGGTAATGCACATTGCGCACAATAAACACGGTTCACGATTAACTGTTCATAGAATCAGGATTGGAGATAATTCGATCGTAATCCCCGATGAAAGAATACGTGAGATTGCGTTCCAGGTTTTTTAGCGCTCTTGCGTGTATCTCGCAAACTTTCTTCGGATCGCCGTACTTCATCTCGAACTTGATATAGTCCATCCAGACAGACTTGTCGTGGTTGCCAAACTGATGCGTCGCCAACTCGTGAGGCCGTCGCGCATGCTTCAACGAAACATCCGGCTGCATGATTTCAAGTGACGCCATTTTTTTGTGAAATTTGAGCGAGAAGGGCGACTGCAAGCACAAGCTGTCGTATGCTTTGCGAGCCGCGCGAATGCCTAACATAAAATTAATATATTCAATTGAAATATGTCCCATTTTAATGATGGAATAAAAAAGATATTATAGTATACGTGCGTATATATTAATTGGACTTACTTTTTGTTAAGACAAGCCACTCGATATAAGTAGGCTTTATATCTCGGGCGATGAGTGGATGCGCTTGCAAAGCGGCTTGGAATGCTTCCTCGGTTCTCTCCGAGTTCTTCGTTTGCACATGCAGAATCCGCATTCTCCACAGAGGTAGAGCTTTCTCCCCTAATATTTCTGTCGCCTGTAGCGACCCACAGTCTTCTGTATAAACCGCTGATCGAATATCAACTAATGTCGCGATTTATTTACCTTTGGATATATCGCGGCCGCTTCTTTCTCTTGTCCCGAGAGCAACAAATGTCTCATTCGCTCTTGCCAAAGACTCACGCTGCTTGGCACCGCGTCAGTCGCTCCGCATAGAACTTGATTCAGTCTCTTCTGCGCGTTCTCATCGCCCGTTTCGGCGCTTAGCATTTTGATCTGTGAGATAAAACGGTTCTTTCTCACATGTGTTACGAGTTACATCAAATATAGCGTACTGCCGTTCACCCTTGCGAACAACAATTATACAATATTGAGTTCCAAACCCAATCTGAATAATATTCCTCCTTCAGCTTCTTCGCCTGATGAGCCTGCGCTAAAGCGGTCCTTAGCAGTTTCCTCTTGAAATTAGGCAATGATTGTAAATCTTTATTGATATCCAGTAAACGTTTTATATAAAGCGACCACATCTCCTCAGTCTTAATTTTTTTCACGGCCGTTTGGTAAACTTTATTGCAAGAAGTGATACGATCCCTCAACGAGGCCTGTTCAGAATTGTCCAGCTCCATTGGTGTGTTGGTGACACCAGGCTGCACCAGACCCTGTAACTCGCGGTCCGCCATTTTGTCCCACATTAAAGCTTCGTGAGCATACTCTCGAATCATATCACTATAATTATAAATCATGATGTTTACCTTCTACGACGCTTCTAAGCCAAAGTTCATGTTATTAACAAAGGAAAAATATTTAATGTTTATGTATATGATATAGTTATAAAATATAGTTATAAGATATATATATATATATATATATATATATATATATATATATATATATATATATTCTCATAAGTTTTAAAACTGTATTATATATATTATAGTAATTCTATAACATATCATTATATATATACTTTTACCTAATAATTTTCTTTTGTAATTTCTCGGTGTTGTCATACTTTTCAGTGATTTTAAGAAGTTCAATTATGAATTTGATGTCGTTAACACGTTCAATAGCCTGCTGATATATTACATATGCCCTCTTCAATGGCAATGGCATCTCGTTATCGTCCACTGTGGATGCTGAATTATCCTCCTGGTTCTCAGCATTTTCTGTGTTGTTAGACACAGATACATAATCATTTAACTCAAGTCTACATGAAACCAATAGATGCAGTCAGATAACAATATTGTAAAGTTGCAAAGTAGATTATGAAAACAGATATTTTGTTGTTATTACTTAAAAGCTTCAATATACAGCAATTGCGAATCTGGATGAATGAGTAAACCTCTGAGAAGACACTGCCGTGCATTCTGCTTGTTGTTGTTCTCCTCCAGCTCCCAACAAGCTGCTATCTGCCAGCATTTCGGCTCATCCCTATGTACTTGTAACATTCTGCCTATCATATTACTGATATTGCTGTGAAAATGCTAAGAAACTTATGTTATATTGTGTCAATACAGCATGATAGCAAAAATATATTAATTCTGTTACTTACTACATGTTTGCAAAATTTTATATAGGCAATCCAAAATCTAATATCTTGAAATTTTGATATTGCATCTTTATATAAGTTATTCATTTTATTCGCTATAGCAAAATCAATATCTAACTTCTTTTGAGTGATGCCGTATTTCTGAGAAAAATATATCAATATTACAATATATATGTAATATTATTTTGTAATTTTTTAATACAATTTTTATAATAAAATACTACACATATATATATAAAATTACTTACATCCCTTCGCTGTTTAATTAATTTCAGGAGATCCATCTCATAATGTATATATTCCACATAGGCTTCTTTGCACTTTGAGTGACGAATTTTGTATTCAAATTCGTTCAGTTTCTTGGCAATAGCCCTGAAATATTAAATTGTGTGATTTGATATATTCTGAAATATTAATCGCTTGAATATCAAATACTTCATTGCGACGAACAATATACAATTTATCTGTTATTTTAGCTTACCGAATCTCATTTTTATCAAAGAGTTTGATTCTTTCCATTTGTTCTAGCTCGGGAATCGTATCCTCAGAACGCTTCTCCGCCATTTTTTAAGTTTCCTCGTAAACTATAAAAAATATTTTAAAATTACTTTATAAGAAAGAATATAAAATTCATAAAAATGTGTAAAACCCCATAAACATAAGAATACGCCGAGAGCGTATCCAATGCTTAGCAGCGAAGATTAGTGAAGATCTGGTAGAAAGAGACAGAAAGCAAGTACCTAGCACTGTTCTCTATCTTTGTTCGTGCCTCCGTAGTAAGGTGCAGGCAATGCGTGATACACACATATATATATGTATGCTGCTGACTACTAGAAAGCCTCGAATAAAGTCTGTATCAAACCGATCAGTTGGTCCATCGCACTTGCGATGGCCGCATTAAGCAGACTCAATTTAGACTGCGTTCCTTTTGGGCGCTCATGCACTGTAAGCGCCATTCTATCTTTATCGCTCATTAGATGCAGAAGAAAGATAGAGTGATGCGTAAGGTGCTAATACATGGGAGCGTTTCATCGTCGAGCGTTAACACGTTAGCCAATCAACGTATCAGGTCCCAGAAGTATACTTATAGTTCTTGCGGAAAGTGGCACGTTGATTGGCTACCGCTTTAACGCTCGATGCTCCCATGTAAAGATACCGTTATAAGCGCGTGAGCGCCCAAAAGGAACGCAGCTCTAAAGCATGCGGCACATGATGCTTGTTTTCGTGCTGGATTGCTTGCTGGATGGAAATACTCTATTCTAATTGATCCGTCTTCAGAAATGCACCAATCAGAACAGAGTATTTCCATCCAGCAAGCAATCCAGCACGAAAACATCGTATGCCGCTGGCTTTATATAATGCAGAATCACTGAAATATATGGTCTGGGGCCGTATTCTTGAAAAATATCGTATACGATATTTCGTAAAACTATAATATATAAAGCTATAATATACGTAACATAAACTCCGGAAGCTATACCTAGACATACGTAACATAAACTATAATTTTCATAGAAATATCGTATGCGATATTTTTCGAGAATAAGGCCCCTGTTCTTTTCAGCTGCACTGCTGAACTGGTGCAATAAGAGTGAGAAAACATAGGGTGCACTCCCACTTAGCGCGTCACGTGTCGCATTGTCCTTTGCGGACTAATCAAATCGTCCTATTTTATTTGTCGTAAAGTTAGGCAATAAAATAGAACGATTTGATTGGTCTGCGAAAGAGACGCGACGCGCGCCAAGTGGGAACTCAGCCATATACTTGTCTCATTTTAACTTATTGCACCAGTTCATCAGTGCAGCTCGGGGCATCAATCATGAATCTTTTCACGTGAGTTTAATTTTACTATCGATCATATAACTTTTTTCCCTAGCATGAAATCGTAAAAAATGAGCAATTTCTAAATATTTGTAATAATTATTATAAATTTGTTTTATTTAATGCGCATCTGTATTTATAATGCATAATATACTGTTATAATCTTTTCTTTGTATATTTTATGCAAAATTCTTTATCATATAATTTCAATTTTAAAAAAATATACAACTATACAAAGTAAAATTTACTGAAGCAGTTGTCCACATTGTTTTGAATTGTGGAATACGCATGCGTAATATTACAATTTACATATTTGCGCATAATGATAGTATTATTTTTCACGTTTTAGCCATCAACCGTGTAGGCTAAAACGTGAAAAGTAAGTGTGCGTATTTGTAGTATTTATATGGTAAGATAAAAATAATCTAGTAATTTCTTTGTTGGGTGTTGGGCCATAGATGCTTCCGAAATATCCAGAGTTGATTCGAGTTGAGTTAGTTTTACTATAGTATATGTATTAATTCCACCCAGCGTATTTGCATAGAGCATAATTAAAGCGAGTAAAATAATAGATTATAAATATTTTCATGTTTGCTTATAACATTTCTTCATGTTATATATTATTTTTTTAGAATGAATGTAACACATAAACAAAAAATAAAATAATAAAATAATAAAATTAATTACAATAATATAATAATAATTATTATTATATTAGATGACCCTTAATACTGTATATTAACTTCTTAACCTAACACTTGGACGAACTGTCACTCACTTAATGACAGCGGCACACAGCTGACCACGCACGGCACAAGGAAACTTTTACACCTCTATACATACTCCTAAAGCCCGTATCAGACTACCGACTGCACAGGCCGACCCGACTGTCGACTACGACTGCCGACTCGGCGCCTCACTGTGATTGGTCCATTGAGAATCGGCAGTCGTAGTCTGATACGGGCTTAACAGTGATATTAACTTTCAGAAATGAATTTATGGAACCTAGAGACATTTAAGATGGCCAACATTGTCCCTTCTTTTTTTATGGATTTTGTCTGGTAACCAACGAAAAGTATGAAACACGCAAGCAGCACGAACAACCCTTTTTCCCTAAATTTGTTAGGGAAAGAATCAATTAAGAATCGGGCATCTCTAGTGTATACATATATATGATCTCAGGGAGCGCCACTAATGCTGGTCATTTTTTCTCCATAAGAGCCGACCCTGGTGCAGCTGAAAAGAACAGACTAATCATTGCGCTGAGTGCATCCGAGAGAGAGTGTATGGTAAAAGTTGAGGTAAGTTTACAGACCTCACCTTCGATTTTGATGAAAATATACTCAATCGATACATTTTTTAAAGACAAAGAACTATTAGGAAAAAATTGTCGCTTTCTGTGAAGCGAGATATTAATTGATAAAGTTGATCACTGTTAAGGTTAGGAAAACTGTTACACCGACGACAAACAGCGTCATGTATATGCTTCGTAGTCACATGTGCATATAAATAATGCGCGCATTAAGAAATATATTTGAACATGCATAAGTAACAAAGCGTTATTGAGATATTAGCATTATTCAAACATTTGCAAAGGATAAACTGAAGGTTCAGAGGGCGAAACCCCTGGTCAAGGGGGGTCAAGGGACATGTTCATAGAAATGTAAGCAATGCATTATAAGTACACACATATTTCACATTTGCATATTTTTGCATGTTGCCACAGAGAATATATCTATTAAATCTTCGCCTTACTAAATAAATGAGTCTACAATCTTATTAAATATATGAGTCTACTATATGCTAAAATAGATGCTGAAAAGATTAGCAAGACTTCTACACAAGGTAAAACATGAATCACACGCAAAAACAACACATACTTAACACACTAAGGTACATTTTTCTCTTTTTTTTAGAATATTATTTTTATCAAATCAGGGGGACTTCGTCCCCGAAGATGAAGATTTAGTAAAACATTCTTCCTTGTGTAAGGGTCTTATCGGTAATCTTTTCGGTATTAACAATTTTTAGTATACTGTAGACTCATTTATTTAGTAAGGCAAAGATTTAATAGATATATTCATAGAAATGTAAACAATGCATTATAAGTATACACATATTTCACATTTGCATATTTTTGCATGTTGCTACAGAGAATATTAACAGTAATCAACTTTGTCAATTCATATCTTGCTTCACAGTAGAAAGCGACAATTTTTCTTAATAGAAAAATTATTTGCTTTTAAAAAACGCGTTGATTAAGTATATTTTCATCAAAATCGGAGGTGTAAACTTAAAGGTTTTAGTAAAGGATTTAGTAAAGGTCTGTAAACTTAATAATTACTAAAGTTGAATATTTAGTGTTTGTATGCATTTAATTGAATAATTATTTAACATATAAAGGACTTGTGAGTCTTATACCATTTTATACTGGATTAATTCTCAAAATTCTTTATAGTTTATAGAAAAATCTAAAAAATGGCGGAATTTGTGGAAAAACGTTGCGAGGATATGATCCCCGAGCTGGAACAAATGGAAAGAATCAAACTATTTAATAAAAATGAGATTCGGTAAGCCAAAACATGTAAATGACATGCATACAGATTCTATTGAACATCGCACTAATCATTAGTTTCATGCCTCAGGGCTATTGCTAGAAAATACAAAGAGTTTGAATACAAAGTTCAACGTCATACAAAGTGCAAGAAGGACTATGAACAATACATACACTATAAAATGAATCTCTTGGCATTGATCAAGCAGCGAAGACATGTAAGCAACTCAGATGTTTTGACTTTAAAGAAGATTATGTTTAAGAAAATTTCAAAATTACATATAGTAACATTGATACATTTTACTTTTCAGAAATATGGAAACTTAAAAAAGAAGTCGGATATTGATTATGCTATAGCAAATAAAATTGATAATTTATATAAAAATGCAATATTTAAATTTCAAGATCTTTCATTATGGGTTGACTACTTGAAATTTTGCAAACAGATAGTAAGTAATGAAACCAATAGATTTTTCTACTGTTTGACTGTGTTCACATGATATAACATAAATGTTTCAGCGTTTTCGCAGCAACATCAGCCATATGTTAGGCAGAATGTTACAAATACATGGAAATAAACCAAAGTGCTGGCACATAGCAGCATGTTGGGAACTAGAGGAAAACAATAACAAGCAGAAGGCTTGTCAATATATATTTAGTGGTTTACACATACATCCAGATTCACCATTATTATATATGGATGCTTTTAGGTAACAGAAAGAATATCACTTTGGCCTATCTATTTTGCAGCTTTTTAATATCATGGTCTAATTGTATCTACTTCATCTAGATTTGAGTTGGATGATTACGTATCTCCATCTAATGACGCTGCAAAAACTGAGGATCAGGAAGATGATTCAGAGTCAGCAGCAGAGGACAGAGAGGTGCCGTTGTCATTGGACAAGGCATATCTGATATATCAGCAAGCTTCAGAGCATATTCGTGACATCAAGTTCATAATTCAGTTACTTACTATTACTGAAGAATATGACAACACAGAAAAATTGCAGAAGAAAATTACTTGGTATGAGTATATAGAGAGAATATTGTAGTTTTGTTTTCATATCAATTCTTTTCAATGTTACTATGTTCCTAGTAGTGCATAGAGTAAAACCAAATTATATTGAATCTTTTTAGTTATTGACAATTTAGAAAAGTTTAGTTTTTTTAGCAATCAGTGACAGTTTTAATTGTAAAGTTCTCTTTTGGAATCATTGAATAGACAAAAAAATGACAAGAAATTTAACTGCAATGTTGCTTGAGTCCAAAATCTAAGAGATAAACCTTGGTTTTTACAATTACAGCGACATGATTCAAAATTATCCTCACGAACCTTTAATATGGGACAAGATTGCGCATCGTGAGTTGGATGGCTTGGTACAACCTGATCTCATTGACATATCGATAGAACTGGACAGTTCCGAGCAATCCTCGCAAAGGAGTCGCATTATCTCTTGTAGCAAGGTCTATCAACTAGCCTTGCAGAACATTGAAACTGAGGAGATGTGGTCACTCTACATAGAATGCTTATTGAATATCAATAAAGATCTAGAGTCGTTACCTAATTTCAAAAGAAAACTCCTGAAGACCGCCTTGGCACAGGCTCATCGGGCGAAGAAGTTGAAAGAAAAATATTACATATATTGGGTTTGTAATGCAATCTCGTGAAATTATTGTTCGGCTTCAACGTAATATATAGCGCGTGCAAACAATAATTTTTACTTTTATAGATTGATATGCTAAGTCTCAAAATAGACGACGAGGACTCGCGGGAAAGACTGTATCAGTTTATATGCAAAGTTACCGATGCTGTACCAAACAGCGTGATCCTTTGGCATGCACGAATGAAGCACTTGCTGCTTTCGAAACAAGACGAAGAAGCGGCAGCAATATGTCCGAAGGTGGATAGATCACGATATTAATTAATACTCAATTAGTGGATTATATAAGAGATCATAAATTTTGCAGGCGACTAGAATATTGGGGGAGAAGGCACTACCTCTATGGAAAATGTGGATTCTGCATGAACAAACTACAAACCCAAAGAAAACCGAAGAGGTGTTTCAAGCCGCTTTACAAATACATCCGCTTATTGCCAGAGATATAAAGCCTTATTATATCGAGTGGCTTGCATCAACAAAAAGTAATGAAGTTAATATATTTTTTCTGTTTAATCATTTTTTATTTTGCGATTTTTAGTTTCAACATTATAATATATAATATTATATGTAATTAACTGACCGATATTAATAATATAATTACAATTATATATTATAATTAATATTATAACTATAATTAATATTTTTATATATGTTTCATTTTAATACATTTTTCCATTATTAATTATTATTCCAGGTATACACGCGGCTCGTAAAGCGTACGACAGCCTGTGCCTGCAAGCGCCCTTTTCACTGGAATGCTATAAAAAAATGGTGTCGCTCGAAGTTATGCAGCCAGAGATCTCTTTGAAGCATGCACGACGACCTCACGAGCTGGCGACGCATTTATTCGGCAAAAACGACAAGTCTGTCTGGATGGATTACATCAATTTCGAGAATAAGCACGGCGAGCCGTGGAAAGCCGGTCAAATATACGAGAGAGCGTTAAAAGAACTGGATGGCAGTCTGACGTCTTCTTTCATCGAGGATCACGTTCTAATCAAAATTAATCAATCACAAATGGAACATATATCCTGATCTAAGATCTTTTAATGCTTTGTAGACGAAATAATTTGGAGGTTGAACAACAGTCAAGAAAGAAGTATTTTTAATACAGATGAAGAAAGAATGATGCATAAATTATTATTAATTATTATTAGTTAATTTAAGGTGTAAATAAGAAGTAAAAAAATATATAAAAGTAAATATATAAAGTAAATATATTGAGAAGAATATTTGTATGTTGGTTGGTTAAAGCTTCTGGCTCCTCTCCGCGGAACTCTTGATTGATGACGTCAGAAGTGAGAAAGTATATACTCAAAATCCCTGCAAAGTACGTCGAAATATACTAAAAAAATAATGCTTAAGCAGTCAATTAAACATATCTGTAAAATATTCTAAACTTTCCTTTTGCTCTAACAAACGATTACCATTCAAATAATGTGTGTGTGGGTGTGTGACATGCAATCTACTTTTTAATTTACATTTTCTCGTAATTTTATCGTGTTAATTTTACAGTTATTTATTGATTGTTAGAACAAAAGGAAAAACGTTTGAACTATTTGATATATCTACTCAATTGATTTCAAGTGTCACTTCAAAAGATATATCTTTATTTTTACGCATTTTGCAAGAATTTTTAGCGTGTATTCTCTCGCTTTTGACATCATAAATAAAGATGGCGTTCTCTCTCTCTGTTTTGATTGCAAGCCTGTCTTTGGCCCCTTGGTTTCATTACTTATTATCTGTTTGCAAAATTTAAAATAGTCAATCCATAATGAAAAATCTTGAAATTTGAATATTGCATTTTTATATAAATTATCAATTTTATTTGCTATAGCATAATCAATATCAGACTTCTTTTTTAAGTTTCCATATTTCTGAGAAGTAAAATGTATCAATGTTACTATATGTGATTTTGTAATTTTCTTAAACATAATCTTCTTTAAAGTCAAAACATCTGAGTTGCTTACATGTCTTCGCTGCTTGATCAATGCCAAAAGATTCATTTTATAGTGTATGTATTGTTCATAGTCCTTCTTACACTTTGTGTAATGTTGAATTTTGTATTCAAACTCTTTATACTTTTGAGTAATAGCTCTGAGGCATGAAACTATTGATTAGTGCGACGTTCAATAGAATTTATATGCATATCATTTATGTGTTTTGGCTTAACGAATCTCATTTTTATTAAACAGTTTGATTCTTTTCATTTGCTCCAACTCGGAAATCATATCTTCGCAACATTTTTCTACAAATTCCGCCATTTTCTAGGTTTTTCTATAAACTATAAAGAATTTTGAGAATTAATCCAGTATGAAATGGTGTAAAAAACTCACAAGTCCTCTATATGTTAAATAACTATTCAATTAAATGCGTACAGACACTAAATATTCAACTTTTATTGCAATATTCTCACTCGGTTGCACTTAGCGCAATGTTGTCTCTCAAATTGTCTTTTTCAAATTTAACGAATCTCTCTCTCTGTCCAGCCTATAATCTTTTTCGGCTTTTCAACACACTACAGTTTTCTAGTGAGTCCCTTCCCTCACGTGAAGAGTGTTGTTAAATAAACTTCTCTTGCGCACGCGCATTGAATGAGGACTTTCGCTTGTCCACAAGTTTCGCAGTAATAGCTCTATCTTGGATCTGTTTTCTATTGCTGAATTCGTGTACACTTTCGGAACTTAAAAAGAAACAAATATACAGATAAAATTTGGTGAAGAAAGATGAGAGAAAACTAGTGCAGCCAGTTCAGTAATAGAAAACAAACCTCTTGAGAGTGCATTTGTCTTGTCGATGCATAATTAGAGAACAGAGATACCGACAAGATAATATTAAATATTATCATTAGTCCTAAGATTTTGTAAACTAGGAAATTTCATTATATGATAATCTCCTGTGGGCAAATTTGTCGATAAAAATCTGTAAAATCTAAGTAAATGATAATTACAAAAATGCAGTTTCATAAAAATATTGAATGTATTTCATTATTATTCATAGACCTGTACACATAACAATAAAACATCAAAATAAATAAATAAATATAATAAATATAATATATATAAATAAAAATATAATATTTATAAATTATAAAATTAATACTTTTATTATATATTGAAAATATTAGGAAGTTACATTAATTCATCCCGTTTTTTTACTTGGATTATTATTTTCATATGTTTCAATGGAACATCAATCAAAATAATTGCCATCTTTTTCGACAACTTTTTGCCATTTTTCTGGTAAAAGCTGGATCCCTCGTCGAAAGAAGGACTTGTCTTTTGAGGCGATTCAGTCATCAACCCATTTTCGGAGTTCCTCGAGGTAGGCGAAGTTCGTGTCTCCCAAGGTTTGTTGCATGGAGTGGAACAGGTGAAAATTGGAAGAAGCAAGATCGGGGGAATACGCTGGATGTAGGAGAACTTCCCATTCCAGATCCATCAGTGCTTCGTTAATCGTTTTCGTTACGTGCGGTCTAGCGTTGTCATACTGGAGGATCACTTTCCGCCTTCTACTGGCTATTGACGGCCTTTTTTGCATTAATTCGTCGTTCAATCGCTTCAGTTGGCGTTGATAAAGTGTGGTGTTAAGCGTTTCATCGGGATCCAGAAACTCATGATACACTACGCCCTCCATATCCCACCAAATGCATAGCATTACTTTATTTTCGTGAATATTCCGCTTTAGCGTTGATGTTGAAGGTTGACCAGTGTCCATCTCCAACTTCCTGAAAATTTTTAAGATTGACAACACTTTCTCTTCTTCTCTTTTTTTCTTCTCTTTCTCTCTCTTCTTACGATGTAGTAAATATGAAGGACATGATTACCAACTGTTGATCAAATTGTATTACCGACTAAACAGCTGACCATCAATCGAAACTCACTAAAGTTCTCTATCGACGTCAGTGATGGTGTGAGATCCAAATTACTACCGCCCTCTGATAGTAGCAGTAAGAAACTAAAAAGGCAAGAGGAGAAAAATAAAATTGAAAGATGAAAATAAGATTTCATTCATATATCTTGCAAAATTTCGTTATGTCGGTAAAGAGCTCGAGAGCTCTCGCCTCTCCTCAACTGAAGATTCTTAATCCATGACTAAACAAATACTATTGGCGTATAATTGGACGAATAATCATCGCTCAAGTATGGTTTCGTCTATTCTAATATGAGTAAAAGGAATGCAGGATGACATATAGTGTACAGATATACCATTGTATATTTAAATTACACAACACACAGATTACAGCGTCTCGTAAACATTATGGACAGACCGTAGGAAGTCGAAGAAGTAGGAGGTGCGTACGAATTTGATTTACGCGCTTCAGAGATCGCGCTCGACTCTATTGCTCTGCATATTTGCAAATGAGGTATATTTCGCATTAAGAGTAAGTAATCGTAAAGTCAACCCCCGAAAAGATTTCGGGTAAGCTGGAGCGGGAAATCGCCGTCGTCGGAAAGGCAGGACCAAGGAGCCAAGAGAAAGACAATGAGAGAGAAAGAAAGAGAGAGAGAGAGAGAGGAAGAATGAAAGAAGATGCTGAAAACGACTTAGAGGATGATGATGATGATGATAATAATGATGACGAGGTGAAGGAGAGAAGGACGCAGAGTGGCTTAATCGGGAATGAGGTAAGCCGAGCGGCGAAGTATAAAAAAAAAGGAAGAGAAGAAAAAGATGACACTCGAGAGGAAAGGACTAAAGACGACGAGCGAGGAAATCCCTCCTTTCCTTCGGAAGGATGCGGTAAGTATAGAGACGGACAGGCAGGCGGATAGGCAGATATAAATAGACACGTTACTTCGTTTCCGTCTAAACGTTCGACTACGTAACTACATAACGATCCGATCGATCGATTACAACGATCGCGCGTTGTGTACAAAGCGGCTATACGGACAGAAATTTTTGGCCTCCTGCGCGCGCTCCCGAGGTGGGGACGTATGTGTGCTCGTATCGGAACGTAACGGAACGTCCGAGATACGCGAAATCGCTTTTCGCCGACGCCTCTCTCTCTCTCTCATACACACACACACACACACTCTCTCTCTCTCTCTCTCTCTCTCCTTTTCTCCTTCTGGCGCGTCGTCGTCTTTGCGCGCCACTACCGCCAGGGTCGGATGGTAATTTTTCATGTGGCTCGAACCTTCGTATTGATAGCTCTTGGACCACGCTAACGGGAACATTAGCGACGCGACGTCGCGAGGGTGGGTACATAGGTCGTCGTGCAAGTATGTAAAGCGGTGTCTACAATGAGAACTTGAGCCATAAGACTTAAGCTTCAGGCCTTGAGCCGCAAGAAAGTGACCAATCACAGTCAAATACGAGGAAAATAATCGACTGTGATTAGTCAATTCTTTACGGCTTAAGACTTAAATCTTATGGTTTAAGTAGACACCCTTATTGTAGGCACTGTTTAACTTACCACTGTAACTTGAATTACTTGTGCAATTTCCGGACATTGTGTATAATATACATAAGGCTGAAAATCGTGCAAACTCCCCAGATAGACTTTCATGACCTCACGATGGATTTCATATGACTTTTATGACTCTCATGAAGCTTTACAACTTCTTTAATTACATTTATGAAGCGAATGCACTATATTGAATTAATTATTAAGTTTACATCATGCAATATTGATGCGACAACAAATTTACACAACAATTTACGTTAGACGTTATGCTCGGGTTTGCATATTACATTTTACATGGCATACACACAGAAAAATACTGTATTCATCTTAATGTTACTTATTTCGCGTATTTCATAAGTTTATGTATGTGCAAATCTTGAAAATCCTAATAACTTTTGTATTTCAATCAAAACTAAAAAAAAAACGGTTTGCTTATTATACAAAGTATTTATGAAACACTTGGATAAGCTCCTATTTCTCTCGTTAAAAAATAAAGAAAAAAGTTTATATAAACCCATAATCAAATATGAGTGATTATTGTAAAGCAAAGTTTATGTTAATGTTGCTATTAAATAACCATAAGTAAACGTTTAAATTATAACAGTCGAGGCGGTATGTTCAGAATATGTGATTTATGCATGATGGAGTACCACTATATTTTAGCCGTCAAGTGAGAAATGTGTTTAATAATTATCTAGATAGATAGATTGACAGAGAGGAGGACCTCCACTTTCCCAGATTTGAATCCGCTAGATTTTTATCTATAGTGACATTTAAAGCATTTAGTGTATTCGTAGCCTTTTGATAACGAAGAGATGCTTCGTCAACGTATTGCTCGTGAGGCAATATGGAATCGTCCATGAACCTTTCAAATAGTTCGACAATTCTTACTTCGCCGTGTGAATGTCTGCCTCCAATCAAATGACGAATATATTTTAAATATCTGTTATAATTTTAATATTTACTTATGATTATGTAATAGTAATATTAATGAAAATTATACTCTATTATAACTTCGCATATTTGATTATGAGTTTATAGAAGAGTTTACTTTCTTTTTTACAGAAGAGTACAACATCATAGAAGATTGTCTAAATATTTCGTAGATGCCCTGTGTAGAGTCAAACTAACTTTTTCTTCGACAATGATTTATGATATAAAGAAAATTAATTCTTTTTTCGAGATACATGATAATATGTTTTTCACAAATTTGTGATGAATATATTTGAAAACTATTTTCAAGAAAATATTCTTTGTTGAAGATAGCCGTTCTTTAAAAGAAAGAAAAGTAAACTGAGTAATTCTTTTTCTTATAATGATATTTTCCTGTGTGTATAATTTTGAGCAAATTTTGATCATTTTTTTTTCTTATCTTTCTCATATTTCTATTTCGTCATTTTTTGCATGGAGAAAAGATGTTTGATTGTAATGAACAAAACAACGCATTTTGGTTGAAGGAAAGGAATTCCTGGTTCTTGGAATCTCATATTAGGGTCATACAAGCCGCACACACACACACACATACACATAAAAACTCTGTGTTCAGCCAAAACGCGTTAGTTCGTTTCTTAAAATCAAACTTTACGTTAGTACATCAAAATGTCTTCCCTGTGTGCGATGAATACGAGTGAAACGTACGAACCACTCGCTAAGATACGCAATCTTCACGAGTCGACTAATTAAGTCACTGCCAAATTTACGGACATCTGTCTATCTGGGTCTCGATCTAGGTGAACGGGAAGGCACATGTGACGCAGGATGTCTGCGATTCGCGAGGAAATTGCCGATTGTGTACCGCAGCGAGACAATAATTCCCTCGCGTGGCCGCACGGCAGTACGCAGGCCCGAAGCTAAAAAGACTCGGAGCTCTTAACGGGAGCACTAGACAACGTCTCGAGAGAGAATACACAACTACATGTACAATTTAAAAAATCTACGAGTACGATAACCGGGAAAGAGGGAAGGGAGAGGGGGAGAGGGGACGATACATATATATCTATATACAATTCAACATTCGCGATGAAAGCTTCTTCTTTCTTTCCTCCATCGACGAGAACGATCTCGCGGGCCGTGTTGACCATCGACTATAGTATGGACTGCGTTATCCCTTACTCTGTTCGTACATGAAACAAGATCCAGAAGCGAGTGGCCGCGGACTA